GGTCCTCCCGGGCTTGGGCAAGGATGGCCAAGGGCCGCTGGCGCATCCTGGCAAAGGTGGGGGCGGTGGGAAGCTCCAGCATGGCGGTGACGAGGTCCAGCTCAGCTTCCACCAGCATCACTCGGTCAGGCATCTGCAGGCACGAGCATCCTGGTTAGGGACCCAAAGTGCCAGGTCTGGCCACGGGGTGGGAGACGGGGGCCTTGGGGGCGCAGACTGAGGTGGGATCAGCCGGCGGTAGGTTCCAGCTGGAGTGGGGTAAAAAGCAGTGCAACCACTTCTAACAGCATCGCCTCGCTCTTACCGACAGCTCCGCCGGCTTCCAGCTCCGGTGGAAGAGCCTGCTCTGGCATTCGCGGTCCGACAGCACCGTGATGTCCTCCTGCGGGCATGAAACCAGAGAGGGATTGATTACTCTGCCAGCTTGGCTTCTGGTGACGTTGTACAATCCTGGATAGCCTTGAGGGGTTTGAAACCAGGATGAAATTTGGCCCTGCATCCTTCTTGTCCCCCACTCCCTTGGAAAACATCCTCCTCATACCCAAACTGCTGCAGGAAAAATCCACCTTGTCACTCAGGGTCTCAAATTTGGCATCCTCTTTGCCTTGCCCTCACCAGCCCACAGCCCTCCGTTGCCAGCAGTACTCACAAAGTGCTCCTTCATCTTCCACATAGCCTTCAGCTCTTGGGGTGCGAGGAACTGGTACTTGGACAGGCTGCAGGTTTGTAAGGAAGCGGGGGTCTTCCGGGGGAAAGCAGTCCCGAGGCTGGCCCCCAGCAAGAGGACCAGCAGAGAGGTGACCCCAAGGTGCAGCATTTTGCCAATGAGAGCCCAGGGGTGAGCAGGTTACGATGGAGCGAGGAGGCTGCGGTGCAAGAAGCCAGCGAGGACAAATTGGAGCCGAATCTGTTCAATCCCTGACGTGGAGATTGCCGATGGCGTTGCTGCAGGTGAGTGGTTCAGCTGCAGGGCTGGTCCTGGGGATCTGCTGCCTCGCTGCTCCATCTCACCGGCTTTTTATGCCACCTGCCCGGCGTGATTGCGCTTTCAGGTTGGCAGGAAAATCCGTGGCCCGGTGGCTCTAGAAAGAGGAAAGTGAAAGCGTCGGTGGAGGGAGGCGCCTGCTGCTGCCTGCCTGGCCATCCGCCCAGCACCCCGGGAATGCGGGGGGATGCCTGGGCTGCCCTCGGCACGCACCCTGCCCAGGGGGGGAAAGGGGGGCTGCTGCTGCCACGCCTAGTGGCGCAGAGGTGCTGGGAAGGGCAGGGGAGCCTGGGCACAACCCAGCCCGGCACCACACCCCGAAGGTGTGGGAGAAGCTCAGGTCCGTAGCCCCATGGGGACAGCGGGCTTGGGGTAGGTGGGAGCAATTCACTGCCTTCAGCAGCAGCAGGAGTTCTTGCCTTGGTTTCCCCACGGAAAGCCAACAGCTGTGGTGGGGAGGGGGCAAAAGCAGCAGCCAGGACTGGGCACTGCACTATGCAGGCTGTGGTAGTGAGCTTTACCTGTGCATGATCTTGAGGGGCCCGGCTCGCTACAAAAGCAGGATAAGGGCTGAAACGAGAAGCTCTTCCATTCAGGTGGGATGTAGGGTTGTGCAGAACAGCTGCCAGGACGGCGGCTCAGAGTGGAGTTGTCTGGGGTGTCCACCCTGATTCACCTGGAAATGCAAATATTGTGTACTGACACCTCTCTGCTGACAGCTGGAGCGGTGTCCCCCCATTCAGCAAAATCCAGCCTTCCCTCGAGGTAAACTCCTACAGTGTGAAGCCATCACCGCTGGCCTTTTAGTTTCACACCTTCGTCAAACATTGAATATAGAAAATTAGAGCAATACCTGCATCTAAAAAACAAATATGTAACACAGCAGTCGTCACAAATGCACCATGCGGTGCCTCGTGTGGCAGCTGTGGAGAAACTCTCCTCCAGGAGGACCTAATTTTTATGTTCGTATTTGGAAATACACTGCTGACATTCTTACACAAGGTTGTGGAAAGGTACACCTGCGGGCAGGCAGACCAGCAGGGACGTGCTGTGCCGAGTCATGGAGGTGGGTTGGGACCTTTGGACATTGGTCACTCCAAAAACTGTGCTCTAGTAGAGTCAGATGGAGCAGCTTGCCCAGGACATTGTACCGTTTTTAATATCTCCAAGGATGGAAACTCTAGCCTCTCTGGACAATCTGTGCTAGCATTTGACCACCCTCATAATAAAAAGTGGTTTCTTCTACTCAGATGGACTTTCAAGTACTTAGGGTCATACCCATTGCCTCCTGTCCCATCAGTAGGCACCATGGAGAGCCTCCAAGGCTTCTCTTCTCCAGGCTGAACAGCACCAGCTCTTTTGTACAGATATGCTGATCCCCTCATCATCTCCGCTGCCCTTTGCTGGACTCTCTCCAGTATGTCCCCGTCTCTCTCATGCTGGTGAACCCAGAACTGGACCCAGCACTCCAGCAGTGGCCTCACCAGTGCTAAGTAGAGGGGAAGGATCGCCTCCCTCGACCTGCTGGAAACCTCCTGCTGCAGCCCTGGACATCATTCACCTTCTTTCAGCAAGGGCACATTTCTGGCTTATGTTCAACAAGGTGCCCACCAGGACCCCCATGTCATTTTCTGCAGAGCTGTTTTCCAGACAGATGGTCCCCAGAACATCCTGGTGCCTGGGGTTGTTCCTTCCCAGGTACAGGACTTTGTACTTTCCCTTGTTGAACTTCATGAGGTTGCCATCAGCCCATTTCTCCAGCCTGTTGAGGTCCCTCTGGATGGGAATGTGACCTTCTGATGCATCAGCTGCTTCTCTCCCAGTTTGGTGTGGTCTGTGAAATCATTACACTGTGGGTACACTCTGCCTCACCATCCACATCATTGATGAAGAGGATAAGCAAGACTGGCTGTTGACCTGCAGGATCCATCCAGCGTTCCTTGAGCCCCTCCCCTGCTCCAGCAGCATCTTGCAGAGATCAGGTCTTTCCTGGAAAACCACAGTGGAGGTGAAGAGGAGCGGAGATGGCAGGCAAGAAGCAGTGTGGCTCAGACAGTGGTTATCTTGGCTTTGACCCAAGCAGATGGAGACACAGCTTGGAGAAGAGCCAGTACAGCAATATATGGTGTAAAAGCCCAATAGCATAGTGGTGTCAGGGATCCCTTTCATAGCAAGTCACGGACACTGCTTCTGGACCAGCCTCCCTGCCACAAGAGGCTCCACAGTTAAAAGCCTGAGCCCCAGGCAGGGCTTGGGTCCTTTGCCTGCACTCCCGGTGAGCGGCACAACGGCTCCGTCAGTCCGGCCTCTCCCTCTAGAGAAATGCAGATGGAGAAACGTCATTTTGTTATTCATTGCAACTTGTCCATGCTCGAGACAACTACGAACTAAAAGGCCAAACCAGCGCAACTGACATCACACGCCACCTGTCCTAGCAGGGCTAGACAGCGCCTTAGCGAGAAAGCCTGATGGGTGTAGAAACCAACGTGGTCCCTGGTGAGGGATGGGAGGAACCAGGGCCCTGGCCATCTGGAGCTCTTTGGATTGCAGTGGAGTGGCCAGAGGGTGATGATGGCTCAGGGTCCCATGTGGTGGAGCCCAGCCAGCTCACAGCACGAGCACCACAGGGTGTTTCCTCCTCCAGACCGACGTACGAGCCAGCCTGGGGTGTTTTGGCATCTGGTTCGGGATCTCTGGCAGCCACCAGCAGGGCTGGCAAAGTCCCCAGCACCCAGACAGTCATGGCCAGCACTGAGATAGTGCTGTACATGCCTGTTGTGCTGGGAGTCCATCACGGCTGACGTCAAGGGCACTGATAGCCCTTTTGCTGGCCCAGAGCCTACTGGGAGCCCTCCCCAGCCACTATCAAGTGCACTGGTGGCCCATTTTTGGAACAGGAAGGACGGGGGTGACATCTCGGCAGCTTCTGCGCAGATCAAAGGCTTGGCAGGAAAAACGCAAGCAGGGACCCCCCG